ATTGACAGAGTTTTCTTGGATATCATGAAATTCTATTCCTTAAGGTTTATACTATTTTGTACTGCCCCCAACCACGTGAGTGTGGGTGTTTCCCCCAGCAGGATGTATGATTGTGTTTTTGAATTTTTGCCAAACTATATGAGAAATATTATCTCTGCAGTTGCTGATGTTCATTCACATTGTGGTACATTCCAGTACTTCATTGATTTTTATATCTAAATAATAATCCATTGCATGTATATACCACAATTTGCTGATGTATTCATCTGTTGATGGACATTTAGGTTTTTTCCTCCCTTCAGTGATTGTGAATAGTGCAATGTGAATGTTTGTGTACAAGGATTTTTTAGTACCTATTTTCAGTCCTTTTGGGTGTATGTCTAACAGTAGAATTGATGGGTCCTATGTTAAACTTTTGAGGAAATTTAGACTTCATCCATAGTTGTTGAACTGTTAAGCATTTTTTATCACTAAGGTGTAAGAGTTCTAATTTCTCCACTTCCTTGCCAACTCTTACTATTTTCCTCCTTTCTTCCTTTCTCCCTTCCTCCCTTCCTTCCTTCCTCCCTTCCTTCCTTCCTCCCTTCCTTCCTTCCTCCCTTCCTTCCTTCTTTTCTCCCTTCCTTCCTCCCTTCTACCTCCCTTTCTTTCTTTCTTTCTTTCTTCTTTCTTTCTCTATTTTTTGGATTATAACCTTCCATGTGATTGTGAAGTAGTATCTAACTATGGCTTTGATTTGCATTTCCTTAATGATGTTAAACATCTTTTCATATACTTGCTGTGTCTTCACTGGATTAAGTGTCTACTCAAGTTCTTTGCAATTTTATAACTGGGCTGTTTATCTTTCTTGAACTATAAGAGTTCTTTTTATATTCTGAGTATTAGACCTTACCAAACATATAATTTTCAAATATCTTCTCCCACTTTATGTGTTGTTTTTTCACCTTTTTAATAGTCTTTTGATGCACAAGTGTTCTTCACTTTGATGAAGTCCAATTTATCTATTTTGTTGATGTTATTGCTATGCTTTTGATATAATTTCTTTTTTAAAAAAAGATTTATTTATTTATTTGACAGAAAGAAACACACATAGAGAGGGAACACAAGTTGGGGCAGTGAGAGATGGAGAAGCAGGCTTCCTGCTGAGCAGGGAGCCCGATGTGGGGCTTGATCCCAGGACCCCAGAATCATGACCTGAGCTGAAGGCAGATGCTTAACAACTGAGCCATCCAGGCACCTTTAATGCCATTTCTAATGATCCATTACCTCATCCAAGGTCATGATAATTTCCTTCTATACTTTCATCTTGAAATGTTATAGCTTATTTATTTCAAAGATTTTATTTATTTATTTGACAGAGAGAGAGAGATCACAAGTAGGCAGATTGGCAGGCAGAGAGAGAGGGGTAAGCAGGCTCCCTGCTGAGCAAAAAGCCTGATGTGGGGCTTGATGCCAGGACGTTGAGACCATGACCTCAGCCAAAGGCAGAGGCTTAACCCATTGAGCCGCCCAGGTGCCCCTAGCTCTTATATTTAAATCATTGATCAACTTTGAATTAATTTTTGTATAGGATGTGAGGTAGGGATCCATTTTCATTATTTTGCCTGTGAATATCAAGGGTCCCGGTACCATTTGTTGATGTGACTATTTTTAGTTTTGATATGCTGTTAAAAATCATTGGCCATAGATGTGTAGTTTTATTTCTAGACTCTGAATTCTATTTATCAATCTATATGCCTGTTCTTATGCCAGTACCACACTCTTTTGATTATTGATTTGATTATTGTAGCTTTGTAATAAGTTTTGAAATTGAGAAATTTAAGTCCTCCAATTAATACTATTTTGTGTATATGGCATGCCCTTCGAAATTCTATATGAATTTGAGGATTGGCTTCTTCATGTCTGAGGAAAAAAAAGCCATTGGAATTTTATTTGGGATTATGCTGTATTGCCATTTTAATGCCCTAGATCTTCCAATCCACAAATATGGAATGTCTTAATTTATTTAGGGTTTCCTTAATGTCTTTCAGCAATGTTTTGTATTTTTTGGTGCACAAGTTTTTCACTTTCATGGTTAAACTTATTCCTAGGTATTTTAACCTTTTATATACTATTGGAAATTGAAATGTTTTCTTAATCTTTTTTGGATTGCTAGTTGCTGGTGTATAGAAACACAGTTGATGTTTGTGTCTTATTTTTGTATTTTGCAACTTTGCTGAATTTGTTTATTAGTTCTACAAATTTTTTTGTGTGGATCTGTTCAGAATTTCTCTGTGGGATCATGTCATTTGTGAACAGAGTTTTTTCCCCTTCCTTTCCAATTTAGATGGCTTTTTTCCTTGCTTAATTGCTTTGGCTAAAACTTCCAGTACAATATTGACTAATAGTAATGAAATCTGCATTTTTGTCTTATTCCTGATCTGGAGAGGAAAGCTTTCACTCTTTCACCATTGAATACAATGATAGTTGTGTATTTTTCATAGATACCTTTAATCCTTGTTGAGGAAGTTCCTTGTGTTCCTAGTTTTGTGAATGTGGTGCAATTTGTAAAATGCTTTTTCTGTTTCGGTTGAGATGATCATGTGATTTTTTTTTCCTCCCTTCATTGTATTAATGAGTTTTATTACATATCACTGCAACCCAAGTATCTCAGATTTTAAAACAACTATACCTGTGTCCTGAAGGAGAATGTATCAGGAGTTTAGAACATCAGAATAGGGTTTAACTCTTCACTGCCATCTTCTCCTCATCTTCAATGTCTATTGGGAGTCTAGCATCCCCATGTTTCCCCATTTTCTCTTTTTTAGGGGAAAACCCAACTATGCTTCAGAGAGCCTACAATACTTCTCCACAATATTTATGGTCAATGATTACCTCTTCCTGGAGAGCGTGCCCTGAGCTCTTGGCTGGTGGGTCTCCTCATCTGTCTGAGCTCTATGATACTTACAGTATGCCCCTATTCTTTGCATGTCCTCCTCTAGTCTCTCTCTAGATAACATATTAATCAGTCATAATATATTAATAATTATAATATAGTAATAATTAACATATAATCATATTAATATAATATATCACTCTCTGCTTAGTGGGGAGCCTGCTTCCTCCTCTCTCTCTCTGCCTACTTATGATCTCTCTCTGTCAAATAAATAAAAACTTTAAACAAAAAAAGAACCTTAGTTTAAAAAAAATCAATGATCAATATAATAATATAATCATGATATATTAATATAATATACTAATAAAATATAGTGTATTAATATACTTAAATGTAATATATTAATATATCAATATAATACAGAACATATTAATTAATATAGAATAATTAATATCAATATAAAATAGATTAATAACTAATTAACAATATTAATCAGTTATAATTATAATATAATGATATATTAATAGCTTTATTAAGATATACTTGATATATTTCAGATTTTTTCAAGTTGGGAAAGTTTATGTGTGTAATATATATAATTATATGTATAAATTATGTAATATATTGTTTTCTAGACTTATTAAGATATAAATGACATAACATTGTATAAATTTAAGGTGTACAATGTGTTGGTTTGATATGCTTGCCTACCATAAAATGATCCAACACCTCCATCACATCATATAATTATCATTTCTTATTTGTGGTGAGAACACAGAAGTATTACTCTCTTAGCAAATTTCTTTTTTCTTTTTTAAAGATTTTGTTTATTTATTAATAATTAAAAATATTTTATTTATTTATTTGACAGACAGAGATCATAAATAGGCAGAGATGCAGGCAGAGAGAGAGAGAGAGAGGAGGAAGCAGGCTCCCTGCTGAGCAGAGAGCCCGATGCAGGGCTCGATGCGGGGCTCGATCCCAGACCCTGAGATCATGACCTGAGCCGAACACAGAGGCTTTAGCCCACTGAGCCACCCAGACGCCCCAAAGATTTTATTTATTTGAGAGCAAGAGAAAGAGAGAGGGGGAGGGAGAAGGAACAGGGGGAGGGACAGAGGGAGAGGGAGAAGCAGACTCCTGAGTGAATGGGGAGCCCCATGTGGGGCTTGATCCTGGGACTCCAGGATCATAACTTGAGCTAAAGGTAGATGGTTAACCCGGTGAGCCACCCAGGTACCCTCTCTTAGCAACTTTCAAGTAGGTAATACAGTGCTGTTACCTATAAGCATTATGCATATGTTACATAGCCAGAATCTATTCATCTTACAATTGGAAGTTTATACCCTTTGCCAACATTCCCCATTCACCAATCTCCAGCCAGTGGTAACCATCATTCTATTCCCTGTTTCTAACAGTTCAGCATTTTAATTTCCATAAAGAGGTGATATCATACAATATTTGCCCTTCCTGTCTGACATTTTACTTATCACAATGCCTCAAATTTTATCCAGGTTGTCAAAATGGCAGGATTTCCTTCCTTCTTAGTGTTGAATGATATCTGTATCTTCTTCATTTATTCTTCCCATGATGGACTCAGGTTGTTTTTATATCTTCCTACAAAAATACTGTTTTCTTCTTTTCTGTAAATTATTTTGTAATTAGAATATAGAAATATTGGGCACCTGGGTGTCAGTGGGTCAAGTCTCTGCCTTTGGTTCAGGTCATGATCTCAGAGGGTCTTGCGATCCAACCCCGAATCGGGCTCTCTGCTCGGCAGGGAGCCTGCTTCCCCCCCTCTCTCTGTCTGCCTCTCTGCCTACTTGTGATCTCTCTCTGTCAAATAAATAAATAAAATCTTTAAAAAAATGAAAAAAGAATATAGAAATATTACATCTTTCAGGGAAAAAATTCTCTTTGCAAAGGAGGGGATTCGTCATGTGAGAGCAGGAATCCTCTGCAGAAGCCCAAGTCCCACGGAGAACAGGCTCTGTTAAGGGCAGGCAAAGGGGAGGAAACAGGGCTCCTTGTTTGGCCAGTGGAAGCAGGGAGGAGCCCAGGATAACCACCCAGCTCTCCAGGGAAGTCTGTGCCAGACTGAGAGCTCTCCACTCTGGCCAGAGGCATGCCAAGCCAGGCTCTGCTGCTTCTCCTGCTCCTCGGTGAGCTGCTGCTGCAGGCCCAGGGAGGCCACCTGAAACTGAAGATGATGCAGAGTAGGTGATGGACTAGGGGACAGGGAGGGGAAGGGGGCCAGGAGGCTCTGTGTCCCTTCTGAGGAAGTCCTGGGTATTGGAACCTTTCAGCACATCCTGCTCAGACCACAGCACTATGAAAACTCTGGGTCCTCCCAAACCATGGCCCTCTGGCCCCTTTATCTGGCCCTGGGAACAGTGATGAGGGTGGAGGGGAAACTATGTCTTTTGCTTCTCCATTTCTAATACCCAGACACAAACACCACACACAGTGGTGAAAGGTACATCACGGGCTGAGAGTCACATGGAGAAACCAAACAACTCTTCTTAGATTTCTGCACATATGTGCATGTTACACCCACAAATGTTGGTGGGAGTGGGTATAGAATGAAAGGACTGTGGGAAAACAAGTTTTGGGGTGTACAAGGTCAAGTCAAAGTTATCATCGGAGAGACCAGGATGGTGGCAGTGGAAGGGAAATAGTGCAAGTGGTAAAATCTGGGAAGAGGCAAGGGCCCTGGAGAAAGTGACAGTGACAGGAGAGAGGGGGGCAGAGTGGCAAGTCACCTTCCTCTCCAGACCCTGCAGATTCTGGAGAGTGGAGAGGGTCTGTAGGATGTCTCTGGAACTCTGAGAACTCAGCAGAGTTCTCAGAGTATAGATTCTATGGAAGGCATCACCAAGGCCATGACTAACATGGGAGACTAACATGGGAGAGAGGGTCCTGGTTGCAGAGTACCCAGAGGGCCCAGAAAGGCCAGGTATTGAGATCTGTTGGGGGAAGAGTAAGGAGTTATAGGATTTAAGATACTGTCAACCATTAGGACTGAGTGAAGGGCAGAAAATGATTTCCCTGAAAAGTCCAAGAGTGTCATGAGTAGGACCTGGGTTCTGGGGTTTTGGGAGAGGCTTTAAGCTTCAGAGGAGGGCTCTCAGAGGATCTGGTTCCAGTGATCTTGTTCCTGCTCCTTTTTAGGTGCAAAAGCCTGTCAAAAGAAGCCCAGCGTGGATCTTTGCAGCAATCACTGTTCATATTTTCTAAAGTGTCCAGAAGAAAATACTGTATGCTGTCCAGCTTACTGTGGGAATGTTTGCATGAGCCTCCAGTGAGTGGGCAAGGGGGCTGAGCGTGCATCATGCCCCCACCCTCAACCCTTTATTTAGACCAAATCAGGAGGATCTGAGATCCCAGGCACTAGGTCGTCAATAGGAATGCACCCTCCCCACTGTCTGAACTCTTTGTTCCTGTCAAATAAACCAGAACAGATGTCCACAGACCTGCCTACTTTAGTCCCAGTGCTTGTGACCATTGAGGACCCAGTGCAGACCCCAGACGGCCCCCCTCTCTGGGTCCAGGTCTCTGATCTCTCTCCCTTGTCATTCTTCTGTATTCTCTCTCCTGTTGGTTCCTGCACCATTGCCAAATCCTGGAGGCCCAGCCTCATTGTTGATCCGCTTACTGAGCCAGCACACCCAGGGGAGAAACTTCTCATGTGTGGTATCTCCCAATGCTAACCAGAACTTTCCCCAGCCTGGGGTCCAAAGGGCCAAGTTAGACATGAGACAGGTGGAGGCTAGACCCTGGTTACAGAGTAGAAGGCCCAGGGAGGCCTCTTCTTAAACTTGACCCACCACCACCCCATTTCCCCCATTCTCCTTGCGAGGTTCAGATTACTGTCCCTTTATAAGGGAGAAAACCAATCCAAGGGAAGTTGAGTGACATGCTCAAGGCAAAAGAGAGTGAGAGGTCATGCTGTGGCCAGAAGAGAATGTTTGTGTGGACCCCCGTTTGCTCACAGTTCCTCCATTATGGTTCTTCCATTATGGGCATGAAAGTGAGTGTCTACACTAACATCTAGTGTTACACTCCAGTCCAGGGCTTCCTGCTGGGCATCGGTGAAGGATTGCCCAGAGGAGGAAATCTGCCTCTCTCAGGCCAGAGCCTCTGGCCCACCTCAGAAGCATGCCAGGGCTCCTGGTATCAGAGGAACTTCTCTACCTCACCTTGGGCCTGCCCTTGGACCAGGAGACCTTAGGAAAGAGATTATGATCAACCAGCAGCACAGACATCATCAGACACAGGTGGGCGGTAAGGACATGCTCTGCAGGAGTGCTCCTCACATAGCCTGACTCTGCGAACGTCTTCCCAGGGCTTGGCCAGGCCCCAAACACCCCGGGAGAGACTATTAGGAGAGGCAAGGCTACCTGCTAGGGCCCACATAGGGAGCTCTCTGGACACTCCGCCCTGCCCCAGTGGACGCAGAAGCTACCCCTAGTATGCTTTGACTGGGAGGAGTGCTTGCCTGGCCAGCACTCCATGTTCTCTCCTATGGAACAGCTGTGTGTTCCATAGTAGGTCGAGTGGAGGAGTGGGGACCCCTGTAAGGCCTTGATTCTCATGCAGACAGAGGAGGGAGCACCTGTAAATTCTGCCATGACCTGGGTGTCAAAAAAGCCAAGTCCCAGCCTGTGGAGAATTGTTGATCAGGCTGGTCTGTCTTGACAAATATGGCCTCACGGTTGTCATGACTTCTGCAATCATTGTTCTCATCTCATGCTCCAGCCATGCTCCTTGCAAATTCTCCCTTCCCCACCCCTCATCTTGATCTTCAGAAGTAGCTTGCCCTCCTGTAGAGACTCAGCACATACTTTCACTCTCTCACTCCCGACTAAGTCATCTCCCTGGTCCTGTGACAAAGTAGAGCTTGAAGAGACTTTGGTCATGGGCTATCCCACAGGACATCATGCTGATCTTTTAGGTCATTTACACTGTGCTAACTGGCCATGGGGAAATAGTAGGCTTCCTAAGTGCTTTACCATGTGCATGCCAGGGTGTAGGAGATACTCTTGTTGATATTCAGGACTTTCCATATTGGTGAATTTCTAGAGATCCAGTGGCCTGGGGCTGACGGGGACAGTCTTTTGAGACAGAAGACAAGTTTCTGTACCTTGTATTGCTTACCATTTAGAAAGACATAATGCACGGTGGGCCTCTTTGGATTTTGGAAATAACCTTGGCCCCTTTTGGGCATGCTCCTTTCATCTATTTCCTTGGGGACTGTAAGGCTGCATGAGGCTCAGATTACAAAAATACTCTGCAGTAAGCCCAGGATGTATTGAAAGTTGTCGCCAGCTGGGTCTTAGGACCTGCCATATGCATTTTCTTAAATGTGTCTGTGGTAGATTAGGATGCTGGATAGAGCCATTGCATGTCCAAGTAGGAGAATCACAGAACACACACTTGTATTATTGAGGTCAGGCCTTGTCCTCTTCTGTTGATGGGTGCTTTCCATTTGAAAGCAGCTCTTTACTTGCTGTGGACCCGCATAAAAAATTTCATGCCTGACCGTGGGACATGGAGTCACTCTACAACTGGAATTTTCCATCAGAAATTGGGAGTCATTTGATCTATGAAGACTTTAAATGGGATGTCCCTAGAGGCAGTCCATCGCCAAATGGAAATGGTATGAATGAGAATGGGCCCAGTCAGATCATTTCTTGGGAAATAAGTAACTTATATAATCAAGTGTTTGGGCCCTAATTAATCACTGATATCTCCTCTTTCTTCATTCTTGCCTGATGTCACTAAGTCTCCAAGAAGGGCTTCCCTTTCCACCATGCATTCCCGAAGAAATGGTGTCTTCACATGTCTGCCTGTTTGGGTCCCTCCTACTTTCCAATCCCTTCCTTATGGTTTCTTAGGAACCAGAGATCTAATCTACCAGGTGTCAGCCTTGCCCTCAGTATTCCTCCATTCATTTTCTGACTTTCATTTTGGGAGGGTGATTTTACCTGCATTCTTTGCTAAGCCCTCTGCTCCCATCTTCTCACTTCCATGTAGTCTCTCCAGTTTGTGTATGTCTCTGATGTTAACCGTAAAAATAAAACCATCAGCTATTTTACTAGCAAAAATGGGTTAATTTGGGAATAGCAGAGAATTGCAATTCAGGGCAAACAAGTTTTGGCAGAACCACAGGTGAGTCCAGAGATCGAAGGAGGGAATGCTCCTTTATAGAGGAAAGGGGGAATTAACTGGTAGTTCCAAGTGGAATGTCTTTTCAGTTGTCTGGGTTGTGAAAGTCTCTTATTGGCTGGGCTATTGCCAGGGAAGGATGAAAACCTTTCTTTCTCTTGCTGTGACTGCAAAGTACTAAGTGGCTAAGGTAGGATCCACTTGCCAGTAACATTTACTGTTGCATAGGTAATTGAGGACAAGTGTGTGGTATGAGAGCTCCCCCCTCTGGCCCTATAACTCCATTTCAGTGAGGTTTTCCTTTACAAATTTTCACACTGCATTTCTGTGGACCACAAGAGTACTGATCCAAATTGGCGGATTTGAGTGTTTTGTTTCTTTGCTCACAGGTTGTTTTCACCCATTTTGTGTATGATGTAGGAAAGTGGTCCAGTTTCATTCTTCTGCATGTGGCTGTCCAATTCTCCCAACACCATTTGTTGAAGTCTTTTTCCCATTGGATATTCTTTCCTGCTTTGTCAAAGATTAGTTGACCACACAGTTGTGGGTCTATTTCTGGGTTTTCTATTCTGTTCTATTTTTTGTGCCAGTACCATACTGTCTGGATGATTACAGCTTTGTAATACAGCTTGAAGTCTGGAACTGTGAAGCCTCCAGGTTTGGTTTTCTTTTTCAACATTTCTCTGGCTATTTGGGGTCTTTTCTGGTTCCATGCAAATTTTAGAATAGTTTGTTCCAGCTCTGTGAAAAATGCTGATGGTACCGCCATACTATTTTCTACAGAGGCTGTGCTATTGTACGTTCATTCCCATCGACAGTGTATGAGGTTCCATTTCTCCACATCCTTGCTAATACTTGTTTTTCTGCTTTTTAAAAAAGATTTTATTTATTTATTTGACAGACAGAGATCACAAGTAGTCAGAGAGAGAGAGGGAAGCGGGCTCCCTGCCGAGCAGAGAGCCTGATGCGGGACTTGATCCCAAGACCCTGGGATCATGACCTGAGCCGAAGGCAGAGGTTTTTAACCCATTGAGCCACCCAGGCACCCCTTTCTGCTTTTTGTTTTTATAGTAGCCATCCTAATGGGTTTGAGATGGTATCTCACTGAAGTTTTGACTTCCATTTTTTTAATGATTAGCAATGTGGAGCATCTGTTCATGTGCTCCTTGGCCTTTTGTCCATATTCTCTGGAAAAGTATCTATTCTAGTCTTTGATTAAATCTAGTTGTTTGTTTTTTTGTGTTCAGTTTTAGGAGCTCTGTCTATATTCTGGATATTAATTCTTTATCAGATGTATGGTTTACAAATATTTACTCCCATTTTATGGATAATCTTTTTACTCTGTTGATAGGGTCTTTTGATGCACAAAATTTTTAAATTTTTAATTTGCCTATTTTTTTTAACCTGTGTCTTTTCTGCTGTATCCAAGAAATCACTGCTAAATCCAATCTCATAAAGATTTTCCCTGTGTTTTTCTCTAAGAGTTTTGTAGTTTTAGGTCTTACATTTATGTCTTTGATCCATTTTTTATTATGTTATGTTAGTCACCATACAGTACATCATTAGTTTTTGATGTAGTTTTCAGTGATTCATTATTTGTGTATAACACCCAGTGCTCCTCACATGTGCCCTCCTTAATGCCCACCACCTGGCTACCCCATTTCCCACCCCCTCCCCTCTGAAACTCTCAGTTTGTTTCCTGGGATCCATAGTCTCTCATGGTTCTCCCTCCCTTGGTTTCCCCCCGCCTTTCAGTTTTCCCTTCCTTCTCCTAATGTCCTTCATGCTATTCCTTATGTTCCACAAGTAAGTGAAACCATACGATAATTATATTTCTCTGCTTGACTTATTTTACTTAGCATAATTCCCTCCAGTTCCATCCATGTCGAGACAAATGGTGGGTAGTCATCCTTTCTGATGGCTGAGTAATATTCCATTGTGTATATGGACCACATCTTCTTTATCCACTTGTCTGTGGAAGGGCATCTCAGCTCCCTCCATAGTTTGGCTGTTGTGGCCATTGCTGCTATGAACATTGGGGGTACAGAAGGCCCTTCTTTTCACTACATCTGTATCTTTGGGGTAAATACCCAGTAGTGCAATTGCTGGGTTATAGGGAAGCTTTATTTTTAATTTT